GGTAGGACTATCACATAGAAGCTCAGAGCAGGGCAGGGAGTGGGAGAGCTGAGAAATCCCAGAGATGGTTCCTATGATCCCACAGCACCCCCCCCCCCCCCCCCCCCCCCCCCGTGAGTGGCCTTTGAGAGGGAAGGAAAGAGGCGTCCTTCCTCAGCAGGAGACAAACCCCAACCTCCCAGCGCACGCCTGGTGACCCAGAGACCACGTTGAAACAGGCCCAATAGCTGTCAGGCCAGGGCGGTGGGGGGACCACCCTGGAGGAGCCGCTCAGGAATGCCAGGGCCGGAGACTGGAGGAGGCTTGGACAGGGTCGGCCCTGCTGTGTCCGCATCTCCGCTAACGACCAATTTGCCAGATACTAATTTTTCCTCAAAGGAAACTCAATTTTCAGACCCTCCATCCGTATGTTAATCTCAGAGCAATTGCGTTTCCCCTGCTTGGGGTCAGGAAGCAACCCTGCAGAACAACAACCCAAACGCGGTGTTTGCTCTTTGCTGGGACAGCACGGTCCCTCTACTCACAGCTCCAACCCTACCCTCGGCTGTCGCAGGAAAGCAGAAGAGCAAACTCTTACTTTATGCTGAGTGCCCTGCACAGACGCAGGTATTTCTGGGAACATCACTACAAACATACTATAATTAGCCCCACTTTGCAAAGAAGGACACTGAGATACTGTGAGGTCAAATAAGACATTCAGCCAAGAAGCAGCAGGCTCCAGGTCTCTTGGTTGGACCTCATAGAGAAGTCATGGCAAAGCTCGTCCTGGGACCTCCAGCATAGGCTATGATTCCAGGAGCCCGTGGTAAGGGATAAGGGAGGCCAGAATTCAGGTCTGAGGCACAAGGTGACAGGGACAAGAGTGGAGGGGGACCTGGGACAATCAGACCCAGAAGCATCAACGACAGAAAGGCACCAACCATGGGGCATCAGGCTTGAGGAGCCATAGGGACTATTCCCTCTGGTCATTCTCTTCCCGGACAAGGATGGCCAGTCCAGAACAGAAGTGACCTGCCCAGCAAAGGGACAAGGTATGGCTCTAGGCAATGCAGCTTTGAGAGACAGTGGGGGTCCTCTCTGATGCTTAATCTCTTTTATTTTATTTTATTTTGAGTTGGAGTCTCACTCTGTCGCCCAGACCGGAGTGCAGCGGCCGCTCCCGGCCACCGCAGCCTCGACCTGCTGGGCTCCGGCGATCTTTCCACCTCAGCCTTCCCAGTAGCCGGAATTACAGGCATGTGCTACCACGCTCGGCTGATTTTTTGATTTATTGTAGAGATGAGGTCTCGCTGCCCAGGCGGGTCTCGAACCCGCGGGCTCAGGCAATCCACTCACCTCAGCCTCCCAAAGGCGTGGGATTACAGGCTGAGCCACCGAGCCCGGCTGATCTCTTTACCATTGTTTTCTGCTCCCTTCCTGAGGCTTCCTCTGTTAGGGAGTAGCTCTATCCACTGGGACAGTTGTCTTTTCTGCCCTCCCGTCTCCATCCTGGGCCACTTTGTCCAGGGGGAGAATGCCAACTGGGATCTGAGATTCCAGGCAGGCAAAGGTGTTGAGTGGAGGATAAGCTATCGCCCAGATAGACCTGCTGAGAGCCATGGTAGGCGCCAAGAAGGCCCTGGAAATTGGGAATCAGAGAGAGTCACATGCTAAATAGAACGCTTTTGGGGTTCCTTGGTCCATGGAGACTCAAGACTCTAGGTCTGGGGTTTTCACAGGGCTCAGGTCTGCAGCTGTGCTCAAAGCCCTGTTGACTGTGCACCAGGGTGTGAGGGTGTGGGTCGAGCCACTTATTAGGCATTTCGAGCAAGTTACGTATATTTACCTGAAGAATAGGATTATAGTAACCTTTTCCTCAAAGAATATTATGTATGGACACTCACACTTTGGCAAATCACAAGTTTTGCTTTTGCTTTTCTTAGAGTTAGAGACCCACTCTGTCACCCAGGAGTGCAGTGACAGGATCACGGCTACCACAGTCTCAACCTGCTGGGCTCAGACGATCCTTCCACCTCAGCCTCCTGAGTAGTTGGGACTACAGGAGCGTGCCACCACGCCCAGCTCATTTTTTGATTTACCGTAGAGATGAGATCTCATCAAGTTGCCCAGGCTGGTCTCGAACCTCTGGGCTCAGGCAATCCTCTCACCTCAGCCTCCTAAAGTGCTGGGACTACAGGCGTGAGCCACTGCGCCCGGCCTCAGATCACTAGTTTTGCCAATCTTCTCCCTCCCTTCTCCATGCTGTGCCTCCTCTCTCCTTCCCGGTTTTCACTGGTCTTTCAACTCTGTCCTCTGTTCATCTTCACACACATCTGTTGTCGAGACTGAAGAAGTCAGAGTTGTCTACAGAAATGCTTTGACAATGGCCACATGTTATGCAAATGTTAAACACACTTCCAGACCTGTGCAGTCTTTTCCACAAAGAGTGTTAGGAAATCAAGGAGTTCTCAGGCCTTTGCCGTCTCTCCTCCCACCCGAGATAAACCTACAAGTCCACCACGCAAAACAAGACACTCCCAGTCCACCCAGCCTGGCTGAGCACATCACTGCAAACCCAGTTTTTAAATGGATCACAGAGACCTTTGCTTCCTGCATGAAGGATGGACTGCTATGGCAGTCACCCTCATACCAAAAATAACTAGAAAAACAGACAAATATATATGAAATAGCTATTTTCAGACACTGGGTAACAATAAGTACAGGACAGTTACAGGAAGAGTTTGACTCCATTTTTGGATGTTTGACTACCAACAAATTTCAAGCGCTGTCTCTTTCCTGTTTCCTTTTCTGATTCATCTTGGCAAGCCCATAAGAAGGGCACACGTTTTCACCCTTAGTGCCAGCAAGAAAATTCAAAAGTTGGCCTGACCTCTACCCACATTAAAAACCAAAGTCACAGCCGGGCACGGTGGCTCACGCCTGTAATGCCAGCACTTTGAGAGGTGGGCGGGATGCGGGGGAATTACCTGAGCTCAAGCGTTCGAGAACAGCCTGACCAACATGGCGAGACCTTATCTCTACAGTAAATAAAAAATCAGCCAGGCATGGTGGCACATGCCTGTGGCTCCAGCTACTTGGAAGGCTGAGGCGGAAGGATCACCTGAGCCCAGCAGGTCGAGGTTGCGGTGGCTGTAAGTGTGCCACTGCGCTCCAGCCTGGGCAACAGAGTGAGACGCCAACTAAAAAAAAAAAACCCCAAAAACCAAAAACCAAAGCCACTCACCACTTCCTTTGCTCAAGTCATTCCAGATGGCTTGGGTAACTATTCTTCTCTCCCCAAATTTTACTCTCTGAAACATAGTTTAAAAAGTGGCAAGGCAAGTCATGGACTATGAGAAAATACCGAACATATATTAGGTAAAGGACTTATAGCCTATGTATAAAAAACTTTTACAGCTCAGTAACATGAAACAAATAACCTGATACAAATAAATGAAATATTTGACCAGACATTGTACTCAAGAAGGTGTATTAGTTTTTTGATTGAGCACATGAAGTGGTGCTTAACATAATTAGTTATTTGAGAAATGAAACTTTAAAATATGATTAAGAACCCACTGGGCATCTAGCAGGTGAATAACTAAACTCTGTTAAAAGACCGACAATACCAAATGCTGGCGAATATATGGCAATGACTGGAGCTTTCGTATATGACTAGAGGGAGTGTCAAGTGTTTCAGTCGCTTGAGAAACCACTTTGGCAGTTTCTCATAAAATTAAAAACACATTTTCCCATATGACCCACCAATTCCATTTTAGGTATGTACCCGAGGGAAGTGAAATAATATGTCCACATAGACTTGAACAAATATTTATAGCAGCTTAATTCAAAATAACCAAAACTAGCCAGGCATGGTGGCTCATGCCTGTAATCCCAGCACTTTGGGAGGTGGAGGCAAGAGGATTGCCTGAGCCCAGGGGCTCGAGACCAGCCTGAGCAACATGGCAAGACCTCGTTTCCACAATAATAAAAAAATTAGCCAAGTGTGGTGTCGCCTGCCTGTAGTTCCAGCTGCTTGGAAGGCTGAGGCAGAAGGATCTGAGCCCAGCAGGTTGAGGCTGCGGTGGCCATGAGTGCCACTGCACTCCAGGCTGGGCGACAGAATGAGACTGTGACTCAACAAACAAACAAACAAACAAAACAACCAAAGCTGGGAAAAAGTCCAAATGTCTATGCACAAAACCATGGATAAACAACTTGTGGCTCAATCGGAGAATTTGGTATCACTCAGCGCTCAAAAGAAGTGAGCTACTGGTCCTTCCAACTACACGGACGATTCCCAACAGAATCACACTAAGTGAAAGTCAGACACAGAGTTCATAGTGGAGTCTGAGACTCCAGAAAATACAAATATCTTATCTATGGTGTTGTCGAGAACCCACACATGTGTGCTGGGGTGGGGGGGGGGGTTAGGTGGGATGAGTGCAGTCTGGGACTAAGAACAAGGTAATCTTTTTTTGTTGTTGTTGAGCTTTTGTAGAGACGAGGTCTTGCTGTGTTGCCCAAGCTGGTCTGGAACTCCTCTGCTCAATTGATCCTCCCACCTTGGTCTCCCAGATTACAGGGATTACAGTCCAGTCAATACAAGGTAATCTTTGAGGAGATGGAAGTATTTTGCATCCTGGTCATGGTAGTGGTGTATAAACATGTCAAAACTCATCTAAACATTCACTTAACATGAGTGCATTTTATTGCATGTAAACTATACCTCAGTAGAGTTGGTTGTTCCGCTTGTTTCTTTGTTTACTTTTTTTTTTAGAGATAGGGTCTCTCTTGGTTGCTCAGGTTGAAGTGAGTAGTGTGATCCTAGCTCATTGCAGCCTGGAATTTCTGGACTCACGCGATCCTACTACATCAGCCTCCCAAAGTGCTGGAATTACAGGCGTGAGTCACAGCTCAGGGTTTTTTTAAAATAAGGAAGCACAGCTTTCCACTGAGCTTGGATTCGAACCAACAATTTCTGCACCTGTCCTACCTCCGCATTTTTACCCCAGGGCTCT